ATGTTTTATAATAAAGTGCCGAGAGGCCATCCAGACCAGGGGCTTTATTTGATCTAAGCTTACCTATTATTTCCATTAATTTGTCTGATATTGAAAGGTTACCTTTCATTGCTTGTATTAGTCTTGTAATCTTAGGGCGCATATAGACAGCACCCAAAATGCATGCCTTCCCACGTTTTCACGTGGGGCGTCCAAATGACACCCCACATAAAAAGGAATTCCTTCAAGACAAAGCAGGAAAACCCAGCTTAGTCCTGAAGTAATTTGTCAGCTGGAAAGACCCAGGCCTTTCAGAAGACCTGGGTCTTTCCAGCTGCAGGCGCTATGTGGATTGAGCCTGGGAATTGCATCACATGACTACCAGTACCCATCCACACAGCTGTCTCAAGTTTGATGGGCTCCTGGAGCCCAAGAAACCCAAGACAAGCCCCACCACCTCCAACCCCCCCCCCCCCAAAGCCTTTAAACAAGAAAAAAAATAACTTATCTGGCCACCATTACCATGCTACTGGAGCTCTCCTGGCATGTAGAAATGACACACTGGGGTGGGGGGAGKGGGGAGGAAATTTGTTTTCTTTTTAAAGAGCTTTTCGGGGGGGGGGGTGTTTGGGTGCCCTGTCAGAAGGCCTGGCAGGGTATCTGAATGCCCCTCCCCCAGGAAAGCACGGATGGTGGCGGGTGGTGTGTGGACTTCAAACCTTGCCTAATTGGGTTTAAGAAGCCTGACATGGAACTGTCCTTAGCCTCTTTTACCAATTGTGAGGTTCTGCCTATATCTTCCTGATCTTTTTTATATAGATTTGAATAGTAATTTCCCAATACCTTCTGAATTTGCTACATATTTGTAATTGTTTCACCATTGTTGCTTATTTTGGGGATCAGTTGTGCTTTCTTCGTACCCTTCAGTTGCCAATGGTTCTTAGAGAGAACACTTCCCTAGGCACTTGTGGGTCTCCCAGTGTGATTCTGTGGTCATCTAGTAAAGGTAAAGTTTCCCTTGACATTAAGTCTAGTTGTGTCCAACTCTGGGGTGCTCAAGAGCTGGTGTTGTCCAAGGCCATGTGGCTGACATGACTGCATGGAGTGGCATTACCTTCCCACCAAAGCAATACTTATTGATCTACTCACATTTGCATGATTTTGAACTGCTAGGTTGGCAGAAGCCGGGGCTAACAGTGGGAGCTCACCCCTCTCCCTGAAGTCGAACCACTGACCTTTTGGTCAGCAAGTTCAGCAGCTCAGTGCTTTAACCTGCTGCACCACCTGGGGCTCTGAGGTCACTTACTGGCAGAAATTGACAGTATTGCTGCACTGGTGGGCCTTGAGATTTCTAGAGAGGTGTTCCCTCAAGTTAAAAAAAATTGCATTTCCCCACTTTTGCAGGGGTCCTGTGTCCCTATCCACACCTAATGTGGAGGGCTGACTGTATTTTGGAGTAGCCACTCACTACTCAAACAGCATTGTACACCTATCTTACCTTTTTTCCTTCTTAACAGGTTTTCTCTGATAAGATAAAACAACAGAGATGACAATGATAAATGATGCTGTCCAGACACCTCAAGTCCACTGCCATTAATAAGGCAGTGTGATTCTGCAGTAAAAGCCTCATTGAGTTTCCATCATAACACGGCTTTGAGTGAGAAAGGTGCATATGGTGGCAGCTGGTAACGGGTAACAATTGGAATGCCCACAATGAGAACTTCTTTAAATAGACCAATTGGACACAGAGAAGCACACACACACAAACCTTAGGGCAGTCAAGATTAGAAATGAGCAAGCTTGATTAGTAACTGCAACAACTTGGAAAATGGCCAGTGTTGTCTCCCAATATAGTTAAGAAAGTGGGAGGCAAAGAGAATAATTGGCTGCCCTTCTCCTGGTGAATGCTTGCATGGATTAAGAGAATTTAAAGTCTCCCCTCAGAAGGCCTCTTACATGTTCTGTTTTTCTCTGTACGTTTCCATTGTACCATTGCCACACCAAACAAGAGAACTCTGGTTTCTTTGATTATGTGGGTCTGCATTCTCATTCTCTCTCTGAGTGTGTATACGTGCCTTCAAGTCTCAATTGACATATGACACCCAATTAATTTCGTAGGGTTTCCTTAGACAAGGAATTCTCAGATGTGGTATTTCTAGTTTCTTCTCCTGAAATCTGACCTATGGTTCTTGATATTCATTGGTGCTCTCCCATCCGATTACTTGCTTACCAAAGCTGATCCTACTTAGCTTCCAAGATTAGATGAAATTTAGTTCCTTTTGAAAACTTAGGGTCCAACAATAAAGGGGATTGGTGTTCAATGGTTTCGTTTTTAGTCTGTGCAAAAGTGCCTTCCGTGCTTTTTGGTCTCTCATTCGGAACAGTGCGGTCATGGGCTGCCCTCTGGTGTTCAGATCCTGTGGAGATTAAGAAATCATGTGTCCTCATAAACATGCGTATATTTTCTTCTGGCATATTTTCCTTGGTTTATTCTTCTTAGAGGAACATACTAAAGATAAAGATGTGACCAGATTGGGCCATAATCTTGGCATTCAACTGTATGCAAAACAAAAACAAAAACAAAACCCTCTCCTGCTGAACCAACTTTGTGATTTCATGGATCTCACCATCTGACCTTGCAGCTTCTGTGGTTCTGTGCCTTCAAAACCTACATCTATTCATTCTTCCACCCCTCTCAGGAATGTTGCTTAGAGCTAAAGAAAATGAAGTGTATGGAGAGAGAGAAATGGGGAGGAAAGCATGGAGAGGAAAGTCAAGGCATTCAGAAGAAAAGGAAAAGATAGGAAACTATCTTCGCAATGCATTAAGTGATCAACAAAGAAGAAAAAATAACAAATTATCCAATGGTTGCATCCTAAAGAGGATGAGAGGCCACCAATTCAACCCAGTTTGCACTAGAGACAAAGCTCTTTCAGACCACACAGGCCCCTTCTACACTGCCATATAAAATCCAGATTATATGCTTTGAACTGGATTATATGGCAGTGTAGACTCTTATAATCCAGTTCAAATCAGATAACGTGGATTTGGTAATCTGGATTATATGGCAATGTAGAAGGGCCCCCATTCAGGCATGAAAACCTGCTGGTTGACCTTGAACAAGTCACAGTCTTAGCCTCAGAGGAAGGCAATGGTAAACCAGCTCTGAAAAAACCTTGCCAAAAAAACCCCGTGATAGGCTCACCTTAAGACATGGGCTATTAGTTTCTATTAGCGCTGCAATCCTGTTCTCTGTGAAAATGAGAACACACCAGCATTGCCCCTTTTCCTTTCACACAGTTCTCCTAATAGCACTTTATTAACACAGATCGTGCTACCTGCTTAACACACTACTTTGTAGTCCACTCCTCCCTAACCATGTTTTGCTCTTCCTAGTGTCCGCCCACCCCCCCACCCACATCTTTTTAAACAGGAAAACATCATTCTCTCCTGATATTTCACCTGCACCTATGGCAGGCATCCTCAGAGGTTGTGAGGTCTGTTGGAAACTGGCCAATTGAAACATTCACACCTACCGAACAGACAAGAGTTCTTTCTCCCACCCTGGACATTCCACAGATATACAAACCCTGTTTTCCTCATTTCCAACAGACCTCACAACCTCTGATGATGCCTGCCATAGATGTGGGTGAAATGTTAGGAGATAATGCTTCTGGAACATGGCCATACAGTCCAAAAAACTCACAACAACCCACTGTTATGAGCAGGGGTCCTCAAACTAAGGCCTGAGGGCCAGATACAGCCCTCCAAGGTCATTTACCCGGCTCTTGCTCAGGGTCAACCTAAGTCTGAAATGACTTGAAAGCACACAACAACAACAACAACAACAACAACAACAACAACAACAACAACCCTATCTCATCAGCCAAAAACAGGCCCACACTTCCCATTGAAATACTAATCAATTTATATTTGTTAAAATTGTTCTTCTTTTTTAATTATTATATTGTTTCTAAGTGGTTTTTTGCACTACAAATAAGATATGTGCAGTGTGCATAGGAATTGATTCATGTTTTTTTCAAATTATAATCTGGCCCTTCAACAGTTTGAGGGACTGTGGCCTGGCCCTCTGTTTAAAAAGTTGGAGGACCCCTGTTTATGAGAATCCTCCATTTTATGTTTTTGTTAATATGTGATTTTGTGGTTGCGGTTGCACATGCTGATCTTTCCATACTTCTCATCATAATAAATACAGAAATACTGTTGACTCCTGTGGATGACAAGGTATTGAAATCCCAGCCTTATAAAAATAGTTCATGCTGCCAGGGGATGGTGTCATTATCAGGGCCAACCCTCATTTTGGGGTGCTGGGGCCACAACAGCAGAACTCAGAGGGTTGCAGTTGGTGACAATATTTGAATCCACAACACAATTAAAGGTGTGCATCCACATTCATAATGCAATCCTTGTTGACAAATCAGTGCCATTACCACGCACATCAATGTAGCTGAACAAACAAACAGGAACTTTTCCAAAAAATATCTCCGCAGTATATCCCACATGAAGACAATGCTTACACAACAAATGATAAAACACAACACAACCAGTAAATACCTGTGAAACTTCACAATTAATTTTTTTTAATGTAGGCGAACAAGGCAAAGGGGGTAATTAATGGCAATGTAGCCAGAAGTCCTTTCTGTCTGCTTGTTGGAAGTTAAATGGCTGCAACTTTGGAATGGGGGAAGTTTTGCAAAGAAAGTTTATATTCAACAATGTGCTCACAACACCACTTGGATTAACTCAATATCTCAGCAGCTTCCTATCACACAGGGGGTATAATTGGAACATTGTGCTTTTAGGAGCCTATTCATAGTTTCCCCTCATGAATGAAAAGGTATAGCCATGCAATGTAGGGAAAGTTAGAATGCCATTAGTATGCTACAACACTGTGCTATAAGCAACACAACACAATCACACACTGTCAGAGAGTCGCAAATGATAATGTCCGGAGACTCACCATAATCTGGAAGGGACTTGAAGACACACAACAAAAAACCTTGATGGATCTGGTTTGTTTATTACTTAGTTTGGGTTCTGCAGTTATCAGTAGTGTGTCTTACTTTATTTAGATCTATGCCACACCAATAAGAAATAATCAATAACCGCTGGAGAAAATAAGATGTCAGCACAGATGTTGGGCTTGACTGAAGTGGAATGATACCCTCGCGACTGCTAATGCATGTTACTTTGAATCCAGTCGAGGTAGTCAGCAACATTGGTGTAGACCCCAGGCTTATTCTCCTGTGCGCAGCCTGTCCCCCAACTGACAATGCCACGGATTGTGGCTCCGCTCTGTCCTTCACACACCAGGGGCCCGCCAGAATCTCCCTGAAACATGAGGGGAAGGGGAGAAAGTGTTCACAAATGTTTAAAGGTGCCAAATCCTTCTACACCTACATCTGTTACAGAACTCAACAGCTCTCTTGCTCATCCTTCAGTATTGTTATCTGTATTGTTACAAGAAGTAAGTCTCTATGTGCTCTCTGTGACTCCAGCTACTTTCCTATTGACACAGTCCTTCCTCAAAGCTATTACTGAGACTCTTTTGTTGTTCTCTCTCTCTCTCTTGCCTGGCATCCCACTTTCTCTCACTTTCCCCCAACAGTCTGAGGGACCATGAACTGCATACTTTCTTCCACAAGTTAGTTATTCAATAATTCCAGAATGTTTTTTTTAAAGATAACATTATATTAAGGGTGTTGGAAATTACAACCTTGAGCCCTTCCAAAAAAGCCCTATATCACATAATATCAAGGGAGAAAATCCCACATTATCTGAGTGTGGACTCAGATAACCCAGTTCAAAGCAGATATTGTGGGATTTTCTGCTTTGATATTCTGGGATATAGGGTTGTGTGGAAGGGCCCCCACTTCAAGCCTCTTCTAGTAATTTGTTTTTCTATAATCCTGTTGCTTACTTATTGTATGTATGTTCTGATATGCAGCTTTCTTTCCTTGCTCTACGTTTTCCTGAGAAGTTGTGGGAGGGGCTGCAGACTACATGATCTGCTCTGAGAAAAGCACAGAACAGAGTCAATCTTTAGACTTTGGGACTGCTCAGATCGCAGACTTGGAAACATTTGCCTGCTGTTTATTGTAAGAGAGAGATATTCTTACCAGATGGCACAGAAACTATCTCAAACATGTCTGTTACTAACTAATAAATTGTGTACCTATGTGTGCTGAACTCATGAAGGTCGTGAGTAAACCCAATATGTTTTTTTTTTTTACCAAAGTCTACTTTATTTTGTAAAATAAAACAAGTTGTTTTATGGGAGAGTAGATATATTTTGGGGCACTGAAAAACACTTCTGAAGAACTGCTATTTTTATGCACTGGCATATTCTCTGTTTTCCTAACAGATCAGAGACAACAGATTGTTCAGTCTAACAACTGAAGTCAACTGCCTTGCATAATTACATTTGGTTGTAAACCACTTGAGAAGCTTCTACTCAAATAGGTTTTTGACTCTTCTTTAAAAGGTTATGATCTCTAAAAGGTCATGCTTCTCTTTTAAAAGGGTTTGGAAAGATGTTGGGTTTAAAAAAAAACAAAAAAAAAACCTCTAGGAACCTACCAGCAAGTTTGGTCAATGCCAAATGGCTCATATTGATGGACTTCAAGTTTCTTTCTAATATATATAAAGGCGGTATTAAAAGTCTAAAGGCAATCTACATCTGCTGTAAATAATGCCCCATGATTCGTGCATGAAGAAGAAATTTATGGGAGAAGGAAAGGTAAGAAGGAACATGGTATGAGTGGCATGTGTACGTGTATAATTCCCGTGAATGTCAGAATCCTATACCTTTATACAACAGTGTTTTGAATTTCTTTCATTTGTGGGTTTTGTTGAAACAGTCATGGAACAGGTGAATCAGGGAACAGTTTCCCAGACACCCTAACATGAGTATATATAGTGAAAGGTAGTTTGGTTGCATGACTGAAGCAAGTTATTTTTCTATTTGGGGCTGGCTCTACACTGTAGAATTAATACAGTTTGACACCACTTTAACTACTATGCCTCAATGCCATTAAATCCTGGAAGTTGTAGTTTGGTGAGGCACTAATACTTTTCGATAGAGAAGGCTGAAGCCCTAATGAAACAATAACTTCTATGATTCCATAGCACTGAGCCATAGCTGCTAAAGTGGTGTTGAACTGCATTAATTTTACAGTGTAAATACACCCTCAAACAAAGAAGCTGCCTTCTACTCCATGAGAAAATCCAACTAGACCAGCAACCAAAGCTTTCTTCAAAGTATCATCCATTGCATCTAAGGCAGCAGGCCAGTTTAGGAGTGGAGAGCATGGCCAGCTGTGTGATGCACAACCCATTCCTCCGAGACTTTGGTTGACCTTACTCTGTCTGATGGTTGGGCCAGCTATATTTGGTTGGGATTATGATAGGATTGAGCTTCACTGAAAGAAGCGTGGCAGTAGAGAAACTATAAATGGCTTATTGCTTGAAGTTTATTGTGGGGCATCTAGTGCCGAAAGCAGGGTTTAAACATGTAGTTAAATGGCAGTTTCTATTAAAATCTCTTAGACCCCTTCAACACAGCTGTATAACTAGATTATATGGCAGTGTGGACTCAGATAATCCAGTTCAAATCAGATATTCTGGATTATCTGCCTTGATATTCTGAATTATATGGTTGTGTGGAAGGGCCCTTAGTTTAAGTGCCTGTCCTTATTATGATCCCGGGCTTCCTCAAATCTCCCTGCGCTCCCTTTACTCCAAATTGGGCTCACCTGACAAGCATCAGCTCTTCCATCCAGGTATCCAGCACAAAGCATGCCTTGTGTGATGCGATTCCCATGTATTTGCTGGGAACAGCACTGTTCATAAGGAATGATGGGCATATCCGCCTCCTGGAGGAACAAGGAGAGTTTGTCGGCTCCTGTCAGGGAAGAACAGAGTCTTGTTTAACTGAACAGAAAACACTTGTGACTGAGGGCCCTTTCACACAGCCCTATAGCCTAGAATATCAAGGCAGAAAATCCCACAATATCTGCTTTGAACTGCATTTTTTGAGTCCATGCTGCCATATATTCCAGTTCAAAGCAGAGAATGTGGGATTTTCTGCCTTGATATTCTGAGTTATATGGCTGCGTGGAAGGGCCCTGGATATTAAAGGGGATCAGGACCAGTTGAGAATCAAGCTGGGAAGAAATGCATCTCAGGGCTCTTCCACACAGCCATATAACGCAAAATATCAAGGCAGATAATCCACAATATTTCCTTTGAACTGAGTTATATGTATGAGTCCACACTGCCATATATTCCAGTTCAAAGCAGAAAATGTGGGATTTTATTCAGCTGTGTGGAAGGGGCCTCAGAGGTAAGGGAAGTTACTTTTTGAGCTGCAAGTCCCAGAAATGGCTAGTTACCATGGACATTGGACGTTCTGGGAGCTATAATCCAAAAAAAGAGGAGATATTGCAAAACTCTAACTTCTGATATGATGGCTTACACCTTTTATCTATATTTCTTGACAACAGAAACAACCTGAGAGATCATAACCTGCAAATCTACTACAAATATGGAACCGTTTATCAAACTGTTGTTGCCAAGGCTGTTAGTGAAATCATCTTTGCTTTCTATAGTCAAGTTGAAGAAAAATACAAACAAACTGTAATTAGAATTTGGTCATTTGTTTTGCCTCACCCAAAACAAAGGTTATGCATTATCTCCAGCATCAAAAGCAGTATGCTTCTGCATAGCAGGTGTTGAAGAACATAGGCAGCAGTACGTTGTTTCACTCATATACAGTAGAGTCTTGCTTATCCAACATAAGCAGTCCAGCCAAATATTGGATAAGCGAAAATGTTGGATAATAAGGAGGGATTAAGGAAAAGCCTATTAAAAGTCAAATTACATTATGATTTTACAAATTAAGCACCAAAACATCATGTTTTACAACAAATTCACAGAAAAAGCAGTTCAATACATGGTAACGTTATATAGTAATTATTGTATTTACAAATTTAGCACCAAAACATTACAATGTATTGAAACAGCTGTGGATCTGGGCAGGAGGCAGACTGCATTGGATAATACAGAACTTTGGATGAGCGAAGGTTGGATAAGAGAGACTCTACTGTACAACTTGGAAATGTTTGGGGATGCTACTTGGAGTTGCAGGCCAAACAAGTGAATTGAGTCCCCCCAGGGGTGAGAAAAGCAGTATAGAAATATAATTGTTAATAATAATAATAATAATAATTATTATTATTATTATTATTATTATTATTATTATTATTTTCCAGGGTCTGAATTCATGTGCTGCTTGTAGGCTTTGCACTGAGGCATCTGTTTTGCTCTCTGTTAAGATTAATAAAATCATAGAGTTGGAAAAGACCATAAAGGCCATCCAGTCCAACCCTTTTCCATGCAAGAAGACACAATCAAAGCTGACTGCTGGACTAAATTAACATTTGATTTGATCCAGTAGTGCTTTTCTTACATTCTCGGTGGATAGCTTGGAAATGTCTGAAAGGAGAAGGACAGGGAAGAATATGAATCAGTCCAATCATTCTCAAGTCTGAAGTGCATATAAAATAGAAATGTGTCCGGTTGACCAGGATGGATCTTCATGGGGAAAAACCAGCAGGATAAGTCCTATCTTCATGCCTGTTTTTGACTTCTTCCTTCTTACCTTCATACATATGTCCCCATCCTGCGATCTGGCACTGCTTGCTGGTGTCATATGTTGATTTCATGGAACTGGGCAGGCAGATGGGGGAAATGGAGTGTGAAAACTCAGCACAGCGGCCTGGTATCCTTTCCTTCAGTTGCACCAATGCTAGAGAATGTAAAAGGCAACAATCATCAGTTAACCACAGTTTTAAGGATGGGAGACAGGTGGAAAGGGGCAAATGAAATCAAGCTTCTCCTCTGCACTGGGAAAAGAGATTCGGAGCCCTTCCACACAGCCATATGACCCAGAATATCAAAGCAGAAAATCCCACAATATCTGCTTTGAACTGGTTTATCTGAGTCCCCACTGCCATATATTCCAGTTCAAAGCAGATAATGTGGGATTTTATTCAGCTGTGTGGAAGAGACCTCTGACTACAGTGGAAAATATCAATAGATGTTTAGTTGAGTCTGCAGTGAGAAAGAATTTAGTCACATTTTATCAATTTTTACAAAAATGCTTCCTATTAAGGATGGAAAGAACTTGTGACTTAAAAAAAATCAAAATATTAGATAAATTCAAAAGAAGTGATTTGTTCAATGCAAATCCGGGGTTTTGTAAGCTTGACTTTTAAAAATTTGGCTTTGAATCACTGAATATTCAAACATAAAAAATGAGGCCTAGGCAATTACATCAGTCGTGTCATTGGGAGTCACCGGACTGCAGAAGAATCCCAAAAACAAAGAGCAATACAGTCTATGGGGCCCTACAACCCATTTTAAAAGTGAATTACAGTAGAGGCAATTCACTGTTTTGTTTTATTATTTATTTATTTATTTATTTATTTATTTATTTATTTATTTATTTATCAATCAGTTGTTGTCTTGGGCCATACAAGTGAAATCTGGAGAGGTCAAGAGTCACAAAAGCACCCTTCTGGATTGTATGTGACCTCAAGGCCACATTTTGCTTACTCCTGAGGTAAACACTGATTTAATGTTTGGTATTTGCTCTGAGAAGACCCATATTTTAACACCTATTAAGTGTTAAAGATTTACTCCTTGCAGAGAATAATTCTGTGTAACTTGCCCAAGGTTACCTTGTAATTTCTGTGGCTGAACTGGGATCTAAATCCTGGCCCCCAGAATCCTAATCCAATGCTCAAACCACTACACCATGCTGATTAACATGAGGTTTTAAACAAAACTGAATGTGGGAGGAGAAGCTGAAGCTGAGAAAATGTCTTATCCCTGGACAACATGGGTGAAGGGAAATTGATGCTTTGTGAACATTCAAGGTGCAAGAAGGACTGCCTACCTTTTGTGGTGACTGAGTGTGCAAACAGTATGCATATGCAAGACATACTAGAAGAGACTCTCACCAATGTCATGTTGCTTGGTGAGCATAGAATAATGTTCATGCAGTCGATAACTGTGGACATGGAGCTTCACAGACCCTGCAGTACTCCTGTTGTAGAGGGTCTGACCCAACACCACTGAAATCTTGGACACATCTGGCCTATAGTAGAAACGTTGTAGTCAGCAGTGTCTTTCTTGATTCAGAAACAAATTATTTAAAGCAGAAGTGGAGAGATAGCCCACCAAGTATTATCAGACTGCAGCTCCCTGAAATGCTAGCCAGGATGGGTCACAGTAAGGAATGGTGGGAACTGAAGACCAAACCATCTGGAAGGCAAAAAAATTCTCCACCCCTACTTTTGACTCAGCAGCTTTCTTCACATGTTCACTAACTGTGGTACCCCAGTGCAACGCGCAAGGGAACATGCTAGTCTCATGGCCCCCATAATCTTTCTAAAGAAGAGAGCTTCATATATCAACAAAAGCTCCCCTTGGCACATATATTTTCCAAAGTGAAGACTTTCACCTCCAGCTAGTCACCTTCCTAGAAAGACAGAAGGAAACAAGACCCCCCCCCCTAAACTATCCTGAAATCAGCTCTTTTTTCAACTGCTGCTTTTCGAGTCCCCAATAAGTGATCTTGTTATGCTCAGCAGAGATTTTGTGAGAGTGTTTTTAGACACAGGACTCTTCACACTAGCAATTAGAAAGCAGTTCTCCTGCTTTTCCTTTTCTTAATGGGTGTTGCAGGCATGAAAAAAAGATGGAAGCAGTAGTGGGAAAATGAGGGAGGGTTCTGAGTAAAGACACTGTTTAAAATCCCCCAAAAATCAGTGAATGAGGCATGACAAAGCCCTGTTTGGAAGAGCTTCATATGTCAGTGGAAGCTCCCGCTGGAACACTGATTTTCCTAAGTGAAGACTCACTTCCGACACTGGAACTGCCCGTACACCTACCTGAAGTCCAGACAATGTGCAGCAGTCAGGATCCAGCAGGAGGCAATAAGGCTTCCCCCACAGAATTGATCCCCAATGTACAAGGCAGCTAGGTAGGGGTGAGAACCAGAAAGTGCCACCATGCCCCCCACAATACGTTTGCGAGAAGAGGTGGTTTTTGTATAGCGCTGCCCACAAAGTGGAGTGATGGTGGTTGATTCAGACAGGATACTACTGTAGCCGAGGGTCTGGTTTGAGGACATCTGCTCTGTCTCTGTTAGTTCTTTTTCTTGCTGTTGAACCATGCTACCTAGAAAGAAAATGGTTTGGGCCATTCATTTGTGGGGCTGGGACACAAGGCAACCCCTTCCAGTTAGTGAGAAAGGCACACCTTACCTGCTGTTGGGGGGAGACAGCGAGTGACATTGCAGAATTCCCAGATGAGCCGCATGTTGTTCAGCACATAACACCATGGCTGGGTGTCATTATCCGGATTCCTACACATGAACAACATACAGTCCAGAACTTGTGAAGGTTAGATGTTGGTGCCATACCTCCCAGCATCCCCAAGACAGCACTCAATAAAGTCAAGACTCGGCAAGTAAAGTAATTAGCAGCCTTGCCTCCCCTTCTACAGTCATTTCAGTCTCCTCAACCACTACATTCTTGGATGCAATTGTGTGGCTTTTCTCATGCCCAGGATGCTCTGGACTACTTTGTCCCCAAATACTACCAACACCCACCTGTGCCCTGTATCTTATTAGTTTATTCCTAACTGATTCACAGAAGAAGCTGGAGACAATTTATATGATACTAAAAAATATTAGTTTTGAAAACCCTGATGTATCTTGGCTCTTGTGTATTCTCAACAAAGTGTTGTTGAAGGCTTTCAGGGCCAGAATCACTGGGTTGCTGTGAGTTTTCCAGACTGTACGGCCATGTTCCAGAAGCATTCTCTCCTGATATTGAAGCTGCAGTGCTAATCAAGGTAGACAATTGCAACATTTACACTTGCCTCCAGCAGACAAGAGTTCTTTCTCCTGCCCTGGACATTCCACAGAAATAATAAACTCCACTTGCCTAGTTTCCAACAGACCTTACAACCTCTGAGGATGCCTGCCATAGATTTATTTATTTATTTACTTTGCTTATATACCGCTGTATCTCAAGCCCGAAGGCGACTCACAGCGGTTCACAAACAGTAAAAACAGTAGAAACAGCAGTGGTTCCATACAACATATAACAATTGACTTAACACATTATCCATAAATTACCAATAAGCAATTACAATGCACAATTATTACAAAAAACAACCGTACCCAATCTTCTCATCATCCAAGCGTAGTCCAGGTTCGTCGTCCATTGTTCCAGTCCTATGTTCCATTACCAGATTGCACTAAATTACTCAAACGCCTGCACAAACATCCAGGTCTTCACCTTTTTGCGGAATACCATTAGAGATGGTGCTAGTCTAATGTCCGTAGGAAGGGCGTTCCACAGCCGAGGCAAAATGTCAGGAGAGAATGCTTCTGGGACATAGCCACACAGCCCGGAATACTCACAGCAACCTCGTCTCAAGACTTTGTTCAGTGAGGAATTTTCAATTAAACCTCTGATATTACTGGATCAGCAACTCTCAAACAATTCATTAGACAAGAAAGTCCCTGAAAAAGACCTTGAGGATGCAAAAAGATCGAAACACTGCAGACTCTTTTTACTAATAAAATAACCACCTTTAGAGCATCTGCATATCTCCAGTTTCTCCTGTGGATCTCATTGGATACTTGTCAGTTTGTTTCCTTTGTTTTCCCTTCTTCAAAGGGCCCATGGGCCCATTCACCATGAAACTGCAGCTCACCTGCAGAAGGGATGCGCTCCCAGGCCCAGGCTGGCAGCATTGTCCGTATTGATGGAGAACTCAGAATCCAGGAAGGGAGAGTCCCAGGGCACACAATGTGCCCCTGAGACCCCGTTCCGGACTGTTCCTCGATACAGATGCCCATTTCCACTGTAGCATGTCTGGTTGTGGTCTAGTGGGGAAAAAGATGGGGCCGCCTCTTAAATGTCTATGAACAAGAAGGACTTTCTTTCTTTTTGGCATCTTTTTATCAAAATCATGTAGAGTACACAGCCACTCTTCCTCACTATTTCAAAGTGTGAAAAGCCTTTTCTGCCTTCACACTGAGTTCTTGAATAACTTCAAAACCCAAGGAGAAAAACAACACCCACATTCCTCAAACGCCACATTCAAGATTTGACTAGATTGGCAACTTAATGTTACTTTAAGACTGGCAATGGGACAGTTTCTTCTCTTGAAAATTAGGGAACCCAGGGCAGTCCACATGGGCAGAAGCAGAGGAAGCCATCTCTGCCAATGGTAGAGGCAGCCCTGGATTTGTTCTCTGTTAGAACGTCTTGGTGGAAAGATGGTGCTGTGAAGAGACTGGCTGGCTGACTCTTTCTACAGGTTATTTTTCTGAAATTTTGTTCTTCTTTACACATAGAGTCTATCCCTATTCAGACATTCATAATAAATGAGTGAAGAGAGGCAGCATGTATGGAGAGCAGCAGCCTGAAAGAACAGCCTCCTCAATAATAATAATAATAATAATAATAATAATAATAATAATAATAATAATAATGATAATATGTATACCCTTCTATCATCTCTCCAGAGGGACTCGGGGCGGCTCACAAAAGCACTCAAGGTGCAAACACATAAAATACAATAAATGCATTATCAGTATCACAATAACAACCACATAAAATCATAAAATCTCACTAGTTAAAAATCAATAAAAATGCAACAGTAACTGTAGATATAAACAAATTGCAATCAATATCACTCTATGCATGGACGCTCTCCAAACAGCTGGGAACCATGGTTCTTCAGGGCTCTAAATGACAGAAAGAAGCTTCATTCATGGCAGAGGTTTTCTTCTTCAGACGGTCACGCTTCAGGTGAAGAGACTGAAGACCAAAGGTGTGGATCAAACCATTCCCCCTCCTCACACATTCATTGTAAGTAAGGCCACGATTATTCATGTATTCTGATTCCTGTTGAACAATTCCCAGATCTTTAACACATGCTTCTCCATGTGCCCATTCTCGCAGGAAAGATCAGGCATGTGCCTATTATTTTGCCTCATGTCTGGCTTTAATTTGGGCCTATTTATCCTTACCACCTTGTTATGGATTAGTTTTAAACTGATGAATACTCTCTGTTGTGGCTAAAATAGAGTTACTCTCCTTTTCTTATAACGAATGATCCTCGATCTTTCATAGAATTATAGAATCATAGAGTTGGAAGAGACCTCGTGGGCCATCCAGTCCAACCCCCTGCCAAGAATCAGGAAAATTGCATTCTTTGTGTCAGAATTTACCTCATCCTTAAAAATACACCAACCCCCCCCCCCCAAATTGTGTGCTGTGTACATTTTCAATCCCTCCCCCCTTTTTGGTTTATCCAAAACATACTGCACCTTTGGTTTTGTTGGATGCTTTTTTAATCCTGCAGAATGGGAATCTGCACTGCCTGCCCCCTCCCTGTTTATTCTGTTATGATTTGCATTATTATAGTGAGTTCTTGATATCTGCTGGGGGTTGATTCAATGACCTCCAGTGGATCCTAAAGTCTGTGAATGCTCAAGTCCCAATATATATAATGACATAGTAAAATGGTTTCCCTTACATAAAACAGCAAACTCAAGGTTCATTTTACATATATTTTTGAAAATATTTTCAGCCTGTTGGTGGCTGAATCCATGGATGCAGAATCCATAGTTACAAAGGGTTGATTGTATTAATGTCTATAGTGCATTTATTGTGTAATGTGTATCTCAGTCCTCTAATGGCTTATGGGCATAACACCCTCATGTAGAACATTACTGCAAGCTGGTTCTACAGATCGGAAATGGATTCTGAGAGGAGTCTGCTCAGAAACCTCAAAGGGGCTGAGTACCTGGCAGTAGTCTGAACACATATCTCCTGAGTCTATGTCCATCAAGCCACAGAGGTCTTGGTCATTATATCCCATATGAAATGAGGCAACCACCTTGATCACCCCATTTCTAAAGGGATATAAACATCAGAATGTGCAGACAGGGTATCCAACAATCCAAGGACTTCTGGTGTGGATTTCTATCCTTTCTCTAATAATTCCTAATAGACACAATCAACAAAACCATGGTCCTATGTCTGTAAGTTCTGTTGATAATACTTGACTTTACAACTGTTGACAAAGCAGATCTTAAAGATTATTTGGAAAGTAGATAACATTTTGGTTTCTTATGATGTTTTGACATAAATATAAACAAAATAACTGTTCCTAGTGCACACATCATTCCCCATATTTCACCTGGACATTGAGTCTCACTGTTCACTCTTTAATACAGCTATAGAGTAAATGGAAATGAGTTAATTTCTACACACATACCTATGTCACACAGTGGTCCAGAAAACCCTTCAGGACAGCCACAGACCCAGCTTGACTTCAACTCTAGGCAGAAACCTCCATTCAAACAATGGTTTGTTGCGCAGTCTGTGAGTCAGAGAAAACAGTACAGATCACTGGACTTATATGTGAGCTTGGAAAAATATACTTTCTGAAAAATAATGAAATCTTCAATAATGGAATCTGCAGTAGGAGTTTCTGGGAGCTGTGATTTCAAAAATTACCTTCTCCAAACTTCACCTATACCAGAACAGAGCATTTGACCCTCGAAGCCCAGTAGGGTTCGTTCTCACTCACTAGCAGGGCCTCTCCTAGATCTTTAGGTATAGATCTTTTACATCAGCTGCCATCTGATTATATTTGCTTATGATGCCAGGGGCTGAATCTGCAGACTCTCCAAGTGTATGAATCTGCAGGCATTGTCCTTATTGTCCTCTGGCATCCCACTCGTCCAGCTGCTATTATCATAGTTTATGTCTTTTTTTCCTTCCCATTTTCCCCTTTATCCTTTGCTTGCCTTCGTTGCTAAGAACTGGATGCAAAGTGCAAATGTAGTTTGCACTCAATTAACAGCATGGGGAGAGATCCTGGGATATACAGCAGTGTAGTACCAGCCTTATAGGTCTTTCATTCTTATCCATAGATTATAAATAAAAGCCAATTGATGGCAAATAACAACAACAAACTTTAGTAGGTTGTGCAAAAGTTCTGATTAAATGCCCAGAACAAATTTATCACTTCACTGACATGAAACATGTCCATGGATGGAACCAAATGTACACAATTTTAAATTTCCAATCAAATTGGAACCAAATTTTCCTAAAAGGGAAAACCTCTTCCAGGAGGTAGAAGTTGGAACAGGGAAATGATAGCTTTCCACAAAGGGATTAAGTTACTTATCATTTACATTTTCCTCCAGATCACACTTTTCTTTTCTTAAAAAAGGTTTTGGTGCATGTATTTGTAATGTATGCAGGTCATAACTTGGGAATAAAGAAAAACATATACAATGCAGCAGATATTCAGTTACTGAGATCTGTGCCATCTGACTGTGACATGTGTGTGAATTGAAAACTGCATTGTGGTAGGGTCAAGGGAGGCTAACTGCTTCAAAAGAAGCACAGGACATCCATGTGGTCACCATATCTGATTTGAAAGCATCATGCTTGATTTTACTTTGCCCAACCATTCATAGATTGATCACTCTCCCCTTTGTTTTAGAAGCTGTAAGCTGTTTCTGTCCCGCTCTGACCCTTTCCATGAACAGGCCTGCAGGCAATGTCCTTCCCAAAGCAATGGCACTCTTCCAGTCCAGCAGGTTGATGATACTGCAGCCAGGTGTCCTTCATGCCAATGTGTGGAGGTCTTCGTGCGCCAAAGCAGCTTTCTGCAAAACAAGGTTAGGGGGTGATCCCAGCTTCCTGCCACAAAGATATGGGCCATAGGACCCAATGTTTATAGTCCTTGATTATAGGAAGTTCCTTAGCACTAATTAGGAGGGCACGTCAACTCTGCCCAGCCTTAAAAATTGGACAGTTGGAATACAGCACAACTCCCCAAGGCAATGTCGTGCGCCTTGTTGTGCAATATGTATAAGCATCTGAATGGTTCAACATTGAAGAAGGGAGAATGAAGCAGAACATGCCTTAAATGCTAAGCCCTAAAGTAATGCACCTTAACTGGGAAAACAACTATGACATTTCCCCTCTGATTTGCTACATTCTAGCCAAGGCTGTTCATCTCCTGACCTGCTCTCTGCCATCACTCTTTCTCTCTCACACACACACTTCCCCTGCCGCCGCCCCCCCTCCCCCAGCAACATGCTCTCTGAACTCTCCGGACTCCCCTGACCTGCCTGCCAACTCTGATTCTGTGTTGGCAGCAGAAAAAGAGGCGGGGTGGCAGAAGAGGAGAACTCTTGCTGGAGATCAAGCGGATTAAAAGGATGAGAAGGAATTGCTCAATAGGAATAGGCAGGCAGATCAAGAAAGAAGGGGAATGTAGGCTGAGTCCACAAACTTCAGGGAGCAAGTGACTTTAAAAGACAACCCAGAAAGGGCAATGGGGAGGGGACTGAAGAGGAGTAGTCTTAGCAGGGGTGAAGCGAAATAACTGGAATAGGCAGGCAGGTCAAAAAAGAAGGGAAAAGAATGGCAGACTCGGAGCCTAGGAAGTCCATTGTTTGGTAGACCTTTATACTAAAGCAGGGGTCCTCAAACTTTTCAAGAAGAGGGCCAAGTCACAGTCCCTCAAACTGTTGGAGGGCCAGATTATAATTTGAAAAAAACCATGAATGAATTCCTATGCACACTGCACATATCTTATTTGTAGTGCAAAAAACACTTAAAAACAATAAAATAATTAAAATGAAGAACAATTTTAGCAAATATAAACTTATTAGTATTTCAATGGGAAGTGTGGGCCTGCTTTTGGCTGATGAGATAGGATTGTTGTTATTGCTGTGTGCTTTCAAGTCATTTCAGACTTAGGTTGATCCTGAGTGAGGGCCAGGTAAATGACTTTGGAGGGCCGTATTCAGCCCCCGGGCCTTAGTTTGAGGACCCCTATACTAGAGGGTGAAATGCTGCATGCCTTGGACTTTCTATCAAACAAGACTATCAAACTAGCTCCCAAACTCCAGTACACAATGCACCTTTGTTTCTGAATTTCTGGTATCTAATCCATGCATTCTTGTGTTGTCTTGTCCCTCTTTCTCAAAAAAGTTGTGCACAATTACTCTATGCAGCTTTAGGGCCAGGGCTTTAGCACAGCTGATAAATCACCAGCAATGATAAGATCTACCAACCGAAAGGTTGCAAGTTTGAAGCCCGAGTAAGCGTGAGCACCTGATTGTCAGCCCTGCTCACTGTTTCCCTAAACAGTTCGAAAACAGCTTACAGCTATGATTAGAGAAATTAGGTACCACTAATGCGGGGGGGGGGGGGGGAATTTACGACACCATAAAGAAAAAGATCAAAGAATGCCGGTAACCAAAAAGAAGGAGGAAGTCCTGATGGCTTTTCGTCATAGAGGATGGAGCGACAGCGCCCCCTGTGGCTGGCAACTTCCAAAGGCGCTGACAAGCTGGATGTTCAACTGGATGTCAACACAACACAATATACCACCTTTCTGTTGTTTGTCTTTGTACCGTCCAAAAAACGGCATTGAATGTTTGCTGTGTATGTGTACTGTGATCTGCCCTGAGTTCCCTTCAAGGTAAGAAGAGCGGAATATAAATAAAGTGTTCTTCTTGTTGTTGTTCTTCAGAAAGTTCAACAGTTCTGAGTAAAACTGCTTGGTGTGGGTTTTTTCTTTTTGAAAATGTGCAACTTATAAATGTTGCAGTGAGTTTTCTATCCTTTTCAAGGAAGAAATGCCAAATTCCTTGACATCTCTTGGGAAGCAAGAAAATAAAGTCTCCATCTCTAATTCCTGGGGTTACCATAAATCAAAGTCAACGAGACAGCAAACAACCAGCCATTCATTAAAGCCCTATTTTGCCACCTGAGGCACATGCCTTAGCTTGCCTAATGATAGCACCAGACAGTTCTTCCTTGGAGAAATGTACTTGCATGCTTAGGAGGACACATGTCCAAAACCAGGACAAGGCTGTGAGGGAGCCAGACCGGGTCTATAGATCTGGGTGCAATATTCAGTACCTCTCTCACAGTTTCTTCCATGAAACCCAGGTCTACATATGCAGTGGAACCCAATTCGCCTGGCTTCACAGATACCACCATTCTCACATGGGTTGGGGTCACAGTGTCCTGCAAAAAGATGGCAAGAGTCAGGATGGAATCTCTTGGAGCATTTCACCAGCAGTTGAAATTATGTGTGTAATGAGGCATTCAACAGCGCCTTGTGCAATTAGTTCCTCATATGTCCACAGCAAAACAGTGTGTAGCTAGCCACAGCTCCAATTCTGTCTGGAACATCCACCAGCTGCAATACCCACCTACCCCATTGCTGTCCTCACCTCTCTTGGCATAAGCGTACTCACAGCACTGTACTGTCTGCTGGCACTGTCCTGGATTTCAGGAAGAATGCAGGCACCAGAATAAGGAGTGGGCACCTTCTTGAGTTGTCCAAAAAAAAAAACCCTGCCTCTTCTGTAGTTATAACAGTTTGAGATTTGTTTTCTAGAGAATCAGCATAGTGTAGTCTAAACTGGGTAATGGAAGCAGGAATTGTCTCCCTAATAAGAATTCTTTCTCCCCAAAAGTATTTTCTCTCCGTTTCCAAAGATCTAGCTTTTCAGGAACTTCAAAAACTCCAGTTGAGCATTTAGAAATACAGTTTAGGAATTCCAAGGAAAACAGGGAGGCAAAGTTAAGACATAAATAAATGGAACACATAAAATATAAGAGTTTTCAATTTTCAAGGTCTTGCTCTCTACAATGCTAGAAATTTGGGAGTTGAAAGAAAATTTAATTTTGCCTATATGTAGTATACCCTTGTCTCAAGCACTGACATATACAGACTGGTGAGAACCTTCCTTTACTCTATCAGCACAATGATTGTTTGTATCAGATTCCACAGTTTGCTCACTTTGTGGCCTTTCCTCTTCCCCGCAGTACTTCCATTTACCGTCTCGGTCATAGTTCTCTGTGGTAGCACACCTGATAAGAAATCACAGAATGAATATATAGACAATGGACATTAGACATAATGGAGAGCTGCAAATCATTACCTCTCCCCATTGCCTCAGCCTACAGATGTGTAAATGCCTGATGTGTGCCCTCTCCCTTCTCCCTGGGCACAAACATTTGGCATGCTTTGTAGCACCCACTCTTTGCTGGGCCCCAAATTCCATCTGGTAAAGAGGTGCTTACCAGTGCCGAGGATTGAATAAACTACCCGGGATGCAGGAGTAGTGCATTTGGCGTTGATAGCGAAAAGGGAAATGGCAGAGTTCCTCATTGGATGATGTATCTAGAAGACAAAATGAGGTGGATTTGCTGCTTCTATCATCATACACAACCCCATGGGGCTGTTTTTGTGACCTCATACAGCAGTGGTTCTCAACCTAGGGTCCCCAGATGTTTTTGGCCTACAGCTCCCAGAAATCCCAGCCAGTTTACTAGTTGTTAGGATTTCTGGAAGTTGAAGGTTGCCAAAAACATCTGGGGACTCCAGGTTGAGAACCACTGTCATACAGGCTCAAAAACAGGAGATGCTGATGATATAGTATACATTTATCTGATGATATAGTATACATTTATCTACTCTTATCTACCTACACTTATATACATATTGAGCCCAAAATGTGGGGAAGTGGGACCAGAAAATGAATACATCCAGAGATTCTTGCTCCCCATCAGATTACTAGGGCTAAGTACTTTTGCTACAAGCTAGCCTACAGAAACCTAACTCAGAAAATGGGACCCATGAAAGATCATTCAGGCCATGACAATAAAGCAAGGGGGGGGGGGCAACTGCAGTGAGTCTGAGGCATGTTTGGGACCTTCTGAAGGTTGCACAGTTGCTCAACAACAACAACAACAACAAAATAAAACAAGACATTGCTAGAAAGCCATTTCTGGTTCAATAATAATAATAATAATAATAATAATAATAATAATAATAACGATATTTTTGTATCCTGCCTCCATCTCCCTGAAGGGACTCGGGGCGGCTTACATGGAGACAAGCCCAATCAACATAGTTAAAATATAACACACTAGAATTGATAAGACAACATCATAAAACAATATAAAACAAACAACATTATAACATAGCATAGAAACAACCATCGGGCAACCAACCAATGAGTAAACAGTTTTGTCTATCCCAGACAAAGAGGGTGACGTAGTTCACACACTCTTCCTAGTCACTTGCCACAAAGGTAGCCTTCATATGTCTTTTAACACAACAGAGACCTGACAGCCCGAAGCTCCTCAGAGCTGTGCTGCTGCCATCACCCACTTCTTGGTCAGTCCACTAATGGCATGAGAAAGCATGTTGTCCAGGGCCTTTCTAAATCTGGAGCTGGAAACCATTGCGAAAACCTGGTTTTATTTTAAAAGGACAGTCCTTTGTTTGACAAGCTTTTAAAGCGCAATCATCTAAAGATATGAAACCATAAGAAGGGTAAGCAGCCAGGGCTTGAAGTTTCTTTTTAATAGTTGGCACCATGTCAGCGAACTGTGGAGGCAAACTGAGCTCACAGTTTTCCCAGCTAAAAAAGGGATGTGCCACATTCTGTTTATATTATAACAATTATTCTATGTTTGCATTTAGACATATAAATGAAAAATCTATGTGCCCTTGTTTTCTTCTTGGGATCCGGGGGAGGTATTTTGGCAACACATAACTGACAATCCACTTCCTTTAGGGACCTAAAGAAGCCTCATTGGGATCCAGGTCACAGCAGTTCATCCTGTGGCTGAATATTCCTTGACCTGGAGAAGCACATTGTTGACTGATACTCACCGTCAGGCTCTTTCTTGGGTGGTCTGTGTGGGATACCCTGCCAAGAAAAGAAAAAAACCTCAAGGAACAACAAATGATTGCTTTGCAGCACCGTGTGCCTTTTTTTGCAACACAACCTTTGACAGCACTTCCATTCCCACTCTCTAAAAACCAGCCTCCATCCTGAATTGAGGGTTTCCAGGGACACAGAGCAGTTTGAAGACTGCTGATGGGCTTGTGTTTCATTATGCTTCCATGGCATAAACAGCTCATCAAAGGCTCGTGAAACTTCAGCATGATTATCAATATGCGTGTCTTTAAATGCTTTAAGCCTTTTAAAAATATATAAATTATTTATCACACTTCTTTCCCACCAGGTTTGAAAAATTCTAAATCATGAGGTGATTGCTATGAAGGGTGTAGCACTCTTTTAATATATTATACTATTTTTTATTTTTAAAAGGAGAGATCACTTGATGGGGGAAATTGGTTAATTCATTTTATGACTGCAACCAATCATTAACCTGACTACAACAAATCCAATTCTTTTGAAAGGTCCATTGATTCAATGTCTCTGCACTAGTTGGTACTAACAATTAATCAATTCCGTTTGCGTATGAAGAAAAACAGCTCTACAGCCCAAAGTGTACTTTCTTGGAAGGGCTTTGAATCTAAACTTCAGATAATGCACACTGCTACATATTATGCTGCACTATCCCTGAAATGGTGTAAATTTAGTTTGCCATTTGTCATGCCCTATGGTTTAAAGCGGGGTGGGAAACTGTGAGTGTAGGGGGCTATATTAATTCAAAAGGAGACAATGTAAGGCTGAACTGCCCCATTACACACATGTCTTTAAACAAAACTAAATTAAATCAAAATGCCTTTTTTGCCTTCAAATGACCTTTAGGGGGCATGGGAGGCATTCTTACCATACTTTGTGGTCTTTCTGGATCATTTTAGGACCAGGGGATGTCTCTTTTAACAACAGGAAGCAAACAGAAGTTACATGGAGTTTCAATTTTTTTCCATGGCCAATATAGATCTAGACAAGCCAAACATGTAGAGGAAATGCCTCCTCATGCCCCTTAGAGACATTTGGGAAATTTCACAAAATGGTTTTTTTTTTCTTCCTAGGGGTCCCATCAGGCCTCTAAATAACAATGCCCCTACTCTCACCCAGAGGGCATTTTGGAGCTTTTTTTAACTGGACCTCATCACACTAGAGAATGAATCCACTTTAAATCCGGTTGCTGCTCCTGCAGAATATGGGGTTTGTAGTTTAGGGAGGAGCCCTTAACAGCCTCACTAAACTACAAACCCCAGAATTCTGCAGGAGGCAGAAACCGGATTTAAAGTGGATTCATTCTCTATTGTGATGAAGTAGCCAGAATGCTGAATTTATTTTGCGAGTAAGGTTCAGCACCTTGGAAAGTTCCTTTAAAAGTTTGGATTAAAGGCCAAGTACACCTCCACCACAACATAGAGACCACTAGCTGCCATGAATGGGGGATGAGTATGAGAAGTTATTGGGCCACCTATATAGCAAGTATGAGGGATGCTGGATAGGTAACTGGAGATAGCCTAAAAACTCTGAAGAGTTGTCAATGGAAAATTGGGTAAAAGGCAAATAGCATGCATACTAGCATTAACAAGATGACCTTTTCTCTCATAGGATGCTCACACATAATGCACAAAATGATGGGACTGAAAGCAGGGCCAGCCCAAGGCATGTTGTTGCCTGAAGGGAGAGACAAGATGGTTCTTCGCCTCATTTCAAATACAGAATTCAACTGGACTGATGCACAGCCTCTATTGCACTGTGAGATACTAGACTAGCTGAGTGAGCACAGATTAGGCTGTATAGCACATGCAGATCTATCCTCTGACAGATAGGAATGGTCAGAGGACTCTGGGGGAAAGAGAGGCTCCTGCCACAGCTGCCCCCTCCTCATCTCAGCAACTGCCAGCTTCATTGTTGTTGTGTATCATCAACTCATTTCTGACTTATGTCAACCCTAGGGCAAATGTATCATAGGGTTTTCAAGGCACAATCTGTTCAGAGGGCTTAAACTTTTCATTTCTGAAAGGCTGAGAGAGTGTGACTTGCCCAAGGGCACCCAGTGAGTTTTCATGTCTGAATGGGGATTTGAATCATGTTCTTCAGAAACCCAGACTAACCACAAATGGACTCCTGGCTGTCTTCACAATACACAATGGCTTCTGGTAAGCATTGCAGGGTTTTTATTTTTAGCCTTCACTTGACTTTGTCCACTTTGGGCCAAGTTGAGAGATATTTTGGAGTTTAATGGAAACCCAGGGGTATCCTATAGCTCCAGGGCAGTCTGGACAGTGGGATCAGGTCCAATTCAGTCTGGTTTGCTATCCAGAATGAACCCAATACCAGTACTCTTTCACGCCTCTGCTGATGTCAGGACTCATGTGACCAGCAAGAAGGAGGGAGGTGAGAATCTCCCCTCCTCTCCGCTGGCTGCATGGACACCCCATTTTGACATCAGCAGAAGTGACTGTGATGGCAGGAAATGCACTGAAAGACCTCTGTATGTGGGTTTGGATCTTCTGGCTAGTCATTAGCCTCAGCTTGTTTTCTCCTTCCTCATGTAAATAACAAATTAGATCCACCCTTTCTTCAGGAAATAATACCTCAGAATTGCTTTGTTTAATTCCACAAAATGAGAAAGCAATTTTATGTATAGTCAGAAATATTACCGCCCTCCTCCTCGTGATAATGTAGGCATGGGGAGGGAATAGGAATGCATTCTCTGCCACCAAGAATGCCAAAGACACTGTCCTACAGTGTTTCAATAGAAGTTTTGTACAGGAATTCAAAGAACAAAAGTACAAGTGAAGGAAACCTCCACTGGGTTCCAGGAAAGTGCACTTCTCTACCATGGCCATTTGGGTTCTCTGGAACTCTTAAGTGGCAAGCATATTTTCCCCAAAGCAGATCCCATCTGACCTTGAAAGCTAAGCAAAGTCAGTCCAGGTTAGTGGTGGTACTGATGGCTATATTTCAGAGGGGGAAACTGGCAAAACCACCACTGAGAAATTGCCTAAGAAACCCTTTTTCAAAAATTTTACATTTCAGTGAGCAAGATGATTGGTTTTAGTAAAATATCTGAGCTTCAGAAGTCCCACCTACTTTATGTTAAAATTAAGTATGAACTCTTGTTCATTTCCAGTTTTAATACTCCTTCCATACATCAATCCATGCAGTCAATAGTAAATATACTTAATGCAACAAATAATGACAGTTCCAAGTTGTACAATGGATATACATTGGTCAAAAGAAAACCTAAGAAACCCCTTTGAAATTCAATGGACCATCTTTGGGTGACATGAAGGTGTGCATGCAACACACTCTATGTATTATGAAAAAATAGACTAGAGAGATGTCTGAGAATCGGATGTCCTTGTTCCTAGACCTGTGCTTTGCTCCCTTGTGCTGAACACCTTATGCACAAATCAAAAATGTGGAGAAAGAACCTATCAGCATTGGAGAAAGGTTATGTTTGACTTCCATAACTGTCCCAACCTTCAACTTCTGTTCCATTCTTCCTACCTTATCAACCACTACATTCTCATGTCAGCTTCCTCTTTGGTGTCCACATAAAAGGCAAATGTCTCATCTCTTTGGCAGATATGCTTCACATCTCTAAGCAGGACCAGTCATGGAACAAGAGGGACTTAAGCAGAAAGACCATTAACACGTTGAATAAGTTATACTGGGATCTCACCAGGAATGATTCCCCTTGGCCAAGAAGCACGGCGAATGGCAGGAACAGCAGCAGAAGCAGGGATGTCATGGTGGTGGCCAGGCAAAGATAAAGTGGTGAGGTATACGTTCTGCTCCAGGCAAAGCAAACAGTCCCAGATCAATACAACTCAAAGCAAAGGTCTTTGGATAGGATTTAATCAGCAGAAGGGGGATTGCAGAACCAAGACAAATAGAAGTCCAAAGCCAGAAATAATCCTCACAGTGTCTCAGATGTTTCCTGTGCATCTATAGCACCTTTCCACTAGCACAAAACTATGTATCTAATGCAGAACATCTTATTGAGAATGTCAGCTGCAGTTTTTTTGGGGGGGGGGGTAAATATGTATTGTTCTAGCAGAGATAGTAACAACCCAGATTAATAGGACTCTCCCTGACCATTTGAGACAGCTGGCAGGTATGGTACCTATCTGTCTGTTCTGTACCAACTTTAGCTCTGCTGTCTCCCCACTCCCCCCCCCCAAATATATCCTGGATCTGCTTAGAAGCAACCAAATTTGGAAATGTCCACAACTTTGGGAAAAGGATAAAGCACTACCTTGACCTCACTTCTCCCCCAAACAGTAGTGATGAAATCTGTTTGGATCAGAGACTAAATTTCAATTTTGGCAGAGTCTCAGGGGCTGTCCTGCAGCAGTGGGCGGGATTAAGGGCAAAGGGTGGGGCCAAGGACAGAAGAGGCAGGGCAAAGCAAAGTGGCACAGCCAGATATAATAACAATTTGAATGTGTGGCTGAAGGCTTTCATGGCCGGAATCACTGGGTTGCTGTGAATTTTCTGGGCTGTATGGCCATGTTCCAGAAGCATTTTCTCCTGATGTTTTGCCCACATCTATGGCAGGCATCCTCAGAGGTTGAGAGATCTATTGGAAACTAGGCAAGTGGGGTTTACATATCTGTGCAATGTCCAGAATGGGAGAAAGAACTCTTGTCTATTTGAGGCAAGTGTGAATGTTGCAATTGGCCAGCTTGATTAGCATTGAATGGCCTTGCAGCTTCAAAGCTGGCTGTTTCCTGCTTGGGGGTATCTTTTGTTGGGAGGTGTTAGCTGGCTCTGATTGTTCCTGTCTGGAATCCCACTGTTTTCTGAATGTTGTTATTTATTTACTGTCCTGATTTTAGAGTTTTTTTAGATACTGGTAGCCAGATTTTGTTCATTTTCATGGTTTGCTCCTTTCTGTTGAAATTGTCCACATGCTTGTGGATTTCAATAATTTCAACAGAAAGGAGGAAACAATAAAAATGAACAAAATCTAACTAGCAGTATTAAAATCAGGACAGTAAGTAAAGAACAACACTCACAGAAACCCAACAATTTAAATGCATTCTCACCAAGCATATTTTACAAATCCAAGTTCAATCACATGCATTCCACTTGGAAAATAGGTCTCAGTGCAACATCTTCTCAGCCCTGCAAGGTACAGCTTTGCCTTTGACAGTTTATCAGAGACAGTGGAATAATTTTGTAGGTAGATAAATCCAGCCTGTGGGTGAAAGGCTGCCCATTCCAGCCTTAAAATCCAATTCAGGAATATATCATGTTCCCTCATAAAAATGATAACTTGTGTTATGTTGAGGGTCCCCCAAAGTGAAACACAGACGTCTTGATTGAGAGATTCTAGTGTTCGGGACTTTATAGTTGAGTTCCACTGCCATTACTTATTTCTTGCACATATGTGACTCATAGTAAGAATCTAGCACTCTTTCATCTTGGATAGTCTTGTAGGAGAAGTATGAGAGTTTGGAAATAAGAACAAGAATGAGCCATGTTGCCTTCGCCTGTCAACCATATCAAGGTGTTATCTACCTCTCAGGCCGCTTCTACACAGCCATATAAAATCCAGATTATCTGCTTTGAATTGGATTATATGGCAGTGTAGACTCATATAATCCAGTTTAAAGCAGATAATGTGGATTATCTGCCTTGATAATCTGGAATTATTTGGCAGTGTAAAGGAGACCTCAGGCTTGATGGTCTTTAGTTTCATAACAAGCAATGCAATGAAGAGGACCAGTTAGGTACACATGCATTTTGCCTCTGGCTGTTCTGCATACAAATGCTGGGGCTGCCATCGGGGACAGGGTGCACTTTCCAACCAACAACCTCTGTTTTGTTTGCTCCCACAACAACTTTCTCACAGGGGTCTTACACCCCATTGACAGCCAGGATGTGGAACCCAGCCAGACATTCAGCTTCTTCCGGCAGATGTTATCTGGGAACATATGACTAAATAACTTAAACCCTTGTGTTTACCCTAAACGTATCAAATGTGGAGCCCAGGAACTGATGGGAACTCTTTGGTTCTTCATGTTCATTGCTCGGGGCAATTCTTTATGAAATCTATCTATCATCATCTCTGGCAAGAACAGCATGTATCTTTTCATGCTGACCAGCCTGATAAATTCTTAGTATAATCCCGTATATGCGTATTCTCAAATCATTCTCATTGACCTCAGTAAAACTTACACATTCAAGCTAGGAAATTGCCCCCTTTGTACTTAAGACTGAGGCCCCTTCCACACTGCCCTATATTCCAGGATCTGATCCCAGATTATCTGCTTCAAACTGGATTATATGAGTCCCCACTGCCAGATAACCAGGGATAAACAGATAATCTGGGGCTTGAAGCCCCTTCTACACTGCCATGTAATCCAGATTATCAAATCAGATTATCCACATTATCTGCTTTGAACTATGGCTCCTTCCACAGAGCTGTATAAAACCCACATTGAACTGGATTACATGACAGTGTGGACTCAGATATTCCAGTTCAAATCAGATATTGTGGATTATGTGCCTTGATATTCTGGGTTATATGGCTATATGTGGAAGGGTCCTAAATGATATGAGTTTTCACTTCCATATAATCTGGATTTTATATGGCAGTGTAGAAGGGGCCTGAGAGACAAAGCCTGCTGGGAACACATACCCCTGAAATCTATGGGACCTTCTTCTGAGGAAATATGTATAAGAACAAGTGTTTCCTAACTTCTTGTAATTCATGGACCCTTCAAGGATACAGGCACATGCAAAGACCAGAACCACAACTAAAGGAACAGTATCATCCTGACCTCACTGCTACTAACTAGCAGAGCTTGCCAAAGTGTGTCGCAACATGTTAGTGTGTCAGCTACAGTGTATAGCTGTGTCATGTGAGTGTAACAAGACATTTCCAAGTCTATGTGAAATAAGCAAGAAATCATATCTTAAAAAAATATAAATGAGAGGTTTTCATGAGATATGTTGTGTCCTCATATATTTCGTTATTACAATTTATGTAGGTGTTCATCTTATAAGGGGTTGGTTTAACTTTCAAATTGCTAGTAAAATTGAATTACTGTGTCACCAACATGAAATGTTTGGAAAGCACTGAACGATAGGGTTGGCCTACCTCATGCTTGTCTGTGAGTGTGTATGTTTGCTTTTTTAAAATAAGTTATATGATGCTTTTCCACAGCCAAAGCACTTCCCATGTAGTTTGTTCTTTTTCTGTTTTCCAACTGATTGGAGATTTCAGTACATATAATGGTAATGCTCAATACTCTCTTGTGTGTATTTTCTTTAGTTTTATACTTAGGATCAACACATCTAAATTATTTTCATTACTTATCTATGTTTTGACATGCCCACTCTCTTTGTGTTCTCTGTTAGAGAGTAAATTTTCTGATTCCTTTGTGTGGGACTATGTGGGCCCTTCCACACAGCCCTATATCCCAGAATATAAAGGCAGAAAATGTCACATTATCTGAGTGTGGATTCAGATAACCCAGGGTCCTTCCACACAGCCATATAACCCAGAATATAAAGGCAGTAAATCCCACAATATTTGCTTTGAACTTGGTTACCTGAGTCCACACTGTCATATATTCCAGTTCAAAGCAGATAATGTGGGGTTTTATTCAGGTGTGGGGAAGGGGCCCCAGTTCAAATCAGATATTGTGGGATTTTCTGTCTTGATATTTTGAGATATAGACTGCGTGGAAGGGCCCTAAGTTTCCAAGGCACTTGTTGACTTCTGGAGAAACCATGAATGTCATAGGGTTTTCTTAGGGAAGGAATATTCAGAAGTGGTTTGTCGGTTCCTTCCTCTGAGGGCACTTCCACACAGCCCTATATCTTATGATATCAAGGCAGAAAATCCTACAATATCTGCTTTGAACTGGGTTATCTGAGTCCACACTCAGATGATGTGGGATTTCCTGCCTTGATATTCTGGGATATAGGGCTGTGTGGAAGGGCCCTATAATACAGTCTATGGCCTCTGATATTCATTGGGTAATCTCCCATTCAAGTACTCACCAGGGCTGACCCTGCTTAGTCTCTAAGGCCCCATCCACACAGCCATATAACCCAGAATATCAAGGCAGACAATCCACAATATCTGCTTTGAATTGGGTTGTCTGAGTCCACACTGCCATATAAACCCAGATCAAAGCAGAGAATGTGAGATTTTATATAGTTGTGTGAAAGGGGCCTCTGATAAGATAGGATCAGGTGCATTTATGTGATTCTCTTACCTTGAGTTAAAAGCTGCTGGTACTTCTCTCTTTCTTTACCCTTATTGAGATTAAGACATGTCTTCATTGTTGTTGTTCATTCGTTCAGTCGTCTCCGACTCTTCGTGACCTCATGGACCAGCCCACGCCAGAGCTCCCTGTCGGCCGTTACCACCCCCAGCTCCCTCAAGGTCAGTCCAGTCACTTCAAGGATTCCATCCATCCATCTTGCCCTTGGTCGACCCCTCTTCCTTTTTCCTTCCATTTTCTCCAGCATCATTATCTTCTCCAAGCTCTCCTGTCTTCTCATTATGTGGCCAAAGTACTTCATCTGTCTCTAGTCTCCTTCCCTCCAGTGAGCAGCCGGGCTTAATTTCCTGGAGGATGGACTGGTTGGATCTTCTCGCAGTCCAAGGCACTCTCAGAACTTTCCTCCAACACCACAGCTCAAAAGCATCGATCTTCCTTCGCTCAGCCTTCCCTAAGGTCCAGCTCTCACATCCGTAGGTTACTACAGGGAATACCATGGCTTTGACTAGGCGGATCTTTGTTGCCAGTCTGATGTCTCTACTCTTTACTATTT